TATATGTTTAGCCTTGTTTTGAAAAGAACAAATGTTTATTCCAGATCTGCAGAGAATAAAAACTGAAAGCTGATTCTAGATGTTTTGTTCTGTTCCCGAGGATATAAGAGCTCTGCATGGTTTGTGAAAAAGCAGCATATGAGACATTTATTTTGGCCTCAAACTATTCAGTGTTCAAAGATACTGTAATATGAATAGTATTTTTGAAATCGTGTATTTGATTCACAGGGAGCAACTACAAAGCTTTGAACTGGTAATGTGTTACACTTTCTTTTTTTGTGAGCATTTTTGATAAGCTGCAGTTGTCCTTTTTGATTTTTACATCAGCCAGTAAAGACACAGTTACAAACAAATGTAAAAGATAGGAGTCCTTTAAGACAAGCTATATTTATTATTAAATATGTAATTCTGTTGATATGGGCATTGACATTTAGTCCAGACATTGACCTATAGAACAAGAGTCTTTATTCATTAATTTACGTTTTAAAAGTTGCATACTTCAGCTAACTCTTTGCTATGGGCCAGCATAGGCATTTGAACTATTTGTTGATGCTGTTAATCTCTGCACTATTGTAGACAGGGTGCGAGTTAATCTTCAATTCATTTATTGAGTGGGAGGCTGTGGCTCAGTGGAATCAGGGGGTAGCAAGTTCGAGTCCCACCGCAGTCAGCATGTCGTTGTGTCCCTGGGCAAGACACTTCACCCCAAATTGCTCCTGTGGGGATTGCCCACAGCACTGAATGTAATGTAATGTAATGTCATTTAAAGTCACACTTCTGCAGAGACAATATGAAAAAATAAAGAGGTCTCACTCCGTCCTATTAAACTGGTGCAGTGTTCCGGAAGTAAATCTATTGATAACTGCAGCTGGAGCACTGCCAAGTTCTGGGTGGGCTTAAACCATCTGTTCAAACAATGGGCATCTGTGCTGAAGGGTGATTTATAGACGTTAGTGCTGCAGCAATTGATTTTAATTTTCGAGGGGATGTCAATTTGAGGGTAGAAGGATATGCTTCCATTTTTATAAATACATGAATAAATAAAAAAATAAAAAATAAGGAGATAAATAAACTGGGGAAGTGAATAAAAACAAAAAAATATCTAAACAGGAAATAATACATTTGGATGTATTAAGAATGAAAAAAAAGAAAAATAATTGGTAATTATTTTTCTATTTATTTATTGTTCTTTTACTGTGCAAATGTATTTATTCTGATAATAACCTGTAGCCTATTTATTGTTTCTACATACATATTTCTTGATTGATATATTGATTAATTTATTGATTTTTGTTTTATTGTATATTGAAATAAATACAAACAGTGCAGAAACGTCTATTTGAGGGCAGAAGAGCATGGAGATTGTAAAGCTTTAATACATTGGAATACATAAGGAGATGAATAAACAGGAAAATTAATAAAAACAAACATTTACTGTAAACAGAAAACAATAACTTTAGATTAATTTAGCATGAAAAAAGTCATGCAAAAATGTAATAAATCAAAAATAACAGCCTGCATGTCAACATTTATTTATATAGTATGTTTTTCTCTGTGTAGATGGCACTGCAGGTTGCAAGGGTGACACACATTTCCCCACCAGTGCTTGCAGGTGCATTACTTTGATTAGCCTAAGCAGCTTATTTCGCGGAATTCTGGGACTTGTAGTCGAAAGGAATGAGAGGCCAGCATGCACACTGCAGTGATGCGCACATCAACTTTGCTTTAACATCTCCATGAAGCTGAGCAGCCACATTTGGTTAATGCTCTGGATGTATTAGATTAAAACATTTTACACTACATTAGAGCAACATATTAAAATGCCAATATCCATATGTATATGTCAATTTGATGGTGACTGTCTATATAGCATGTTCAGACATTGATAGGTTATCTGATGCATACAACAATTATTTTATGTTTTGTAAATATCGTTCAAAGTGGTGCAATGTGGGGAAAAAAACAGCAGTATTACGTAGAAAAGTGACATCATCTCCTCAAAGTCAAGGACTCCCGGCACCATAAAACACCATGATGGGTTTCCCTAATATACATCCTCTTGAACATCATATGTAATATAAAAAAACTCTTAGAAGTCAAACCTCCAACAATAAATATGCAAGAATACGTCACTCACCAGAGTACTTCAATGTCAGCAATCCCAGGCTATAGCTACATTCCCTCAATCATTTACATCCAAATGTTTGGCTTAAAATACCCTTCTGCTAAAACACATTTAGCTGGTGCACTATCACCCGGGTACATCTTAATGCCGCATTGGAGAGAGGGAGACAGAGATACTTACATTAGCAGCAGGCTGGCAGCAGCATCACTGCAGCATCTCTGTCCTCTGCACCGCACACAACTTCCTTTAAACCATAAACAGCATGAAAAGAAAAGGTACCCAACGTGAACACTTCAGAGATTTTGGTTTGTTTGGAATATGTCTTCAGTTGAGATGTCTAACAATCGCGAACAGTTTCATATACTGCAGGATTTTAGAGCACAGGACTCTTAAAGGGACAGCTGCTGGGACACACCAATACGGGCTGGGCGAGAAGATTAGAATACACTGACAAGAACCCAGTGGTGGATTAATTTGTTACCACGTACATTTACTCAAGTACTGACTGTACTTAAGTACAATTTTGAAGTACTTTACTTTAGTATTTCCATTTAACGCGTCTTTATACGTTTGCTCCTTTTATTAAACAGCTTTAGTGACTTTTCAGGTTTTGAATTAAAAACGTGTGATAATATTGAACATAGTGCATCTCTAAAAAAATAAACTAGTGGACTAACTGTTTAAGGTCCGTTGCAGCCCCTTTTTTTAGAGATTTGGGTATGGAGGAAAATAGAGAGGGTTGTGTTTTCTGACACTTGGTGAGTTCCCTGGAACACCGGGGACACATATTCATGTATAAAAGACGTACAAAAGTGCATTTTGCATGATAGGTCCCCTTTAAGTTATAGGTTTTTGTGCAGGCTAAAATCCCTGTGTTCCCTGTAGAGAGAGTTCCTGTCGCCCACACTCACAAAAAAAAGAAGGTCTTCAGTCTTTATTTAAATGAATAAAGAGTTGCAGTGGACCTGCCGTTTTTTGGTAGTTTGTTCAAGAAGACCAACAAATAAATAATGACACCAACGTTCCAGTAGATGGAGACAGCTGCAAAGCTGAAGTGTCTAACTCAGAGAGGTAGAACCTTTGACTGCAGTATACAGACCATGATACAGACTCATGTCAGAGTGACATGCAGATCACCAGTGCACAAATCTAACCTCAACATAAAATATATACATGCATTTGAACAATAACAGTTCAAAACAGACATACAAATATGTTAATGCGACTGCCACAGTGTAAAACTATTCATGAAAAACAAATAAAGCTGATGAAAAGGTTAGAGTCTTCAATCGGCCCTATTCTGCTCTTTGTGATTTTCCCTTTCCTGTAGAGTGTTATATTGTTTTTTGTGCATGTAAATGGTCTGCAAAGGCTAAAATCACGGTGTTCCCTCCAGAGGGAGTTTCTCTCCCTGCCTGAATTATTGGACTCCTTTGTTTACTTCCGTAATAAGGTGACATCAATATGTAACACTTGCGCTTATATTGACTAGAGCTCCAACACATTGTACGTGATAGGCTAAGGTCCGGGTCCTCCGGGACATGACCTATCACAACAGAGCCGTCCAGCAAACCAATCAGAGCAGACTGGGCTCTGGTTTCAGACAGAGGGTGAACATTTGCACCGGCACAGGCAGTATGAGCAAAATAAAGAGCTTTTTGGACTAATATGAACCTGAATATGAGCATAATAGTGCCCCTTCAACTCGAGACATGAAGTGTTAATAATACTTTATTTGTGGCATATTTCATAAGAGACATGTGCATAAAATAAACTAAGCAACAGCTAATTACATTAGCAAAGTAATTACATTTGCAAAGTAGACTGCTTGATGGATGCAAAACATGCCCAGACATGTACAGTAATTGTCCACTTTAGCTGCAGTGTTGAACTTTTGTCCTCTGTGTCTTTGCCTCGGTGCAGACATTCACACACACACACACACACACACACACACACACACACACACACACACACACACACACACACACACACACACACACACACACACACCACACACACACACACACACATACACACACACACACACACACAGACGCACGCAAACACACACACACACACACACACACACACACACACACACACACACACACACAGACGCACGCACACACACACGCACGCAAACACACACACACACACACACACACACACACACACACACACACACACACACACACACACACACACACACACACACAGTCACTGTCAGAGTCTTATAGTCACAATCCTCACAAATCAACTCGGTCGCAAAAAATGAAATTTCACATTTGGGAATATGAAGAAAATAATAATCAGAAAATGGAAAAGCATTTTAGGTAGTTTAACAACATCTTTACTTGAGTCAGGATCTTTATTTAAAGGTTTATTTTACTCAGTGGGACTGATTTTACTTTCAATGGCACATGTTTTGTAAAAAAAAGAAAATACACATGGATATATATCTTTTGTATTAAACTTTATTAAATAAGTTGTCCAGCCATGATGCAAAAGTTCCAACATATAACAAGCAATGATCCCCCATGAATACAGTATATTTTCCAGCATTCAGACAAAATCAGTAAGTTGTCATTGAATCTGCTCTTCCTCAGAGTTTAATAAGAATACAAACCTATATATATCCACTTCTTGTTAGATGCTATATGCATTTCATTGGCTTGCACTCTGCACAATGACAACAAAAGTAAATTGGGACCGACAGGGACCCTGTGAAGGACCATTATATAGGTCGACGGACCACAGTTTGGAAGCCACTTGGCTGGAGCTCAAAATCCAAGAGACCGACTTCCATGAAACAGCCATTCAATAAACCACACACACTCTCACACACACACAGTGGAGAGGGAGAGAGTAGACTCTGATAACAAAGCGGCAGAGGAAACGCTGTTATTGATCACATTTCTCAGCCTGTGTGTGTGTTTGCCTCGCGCTGTGGGACGGCTCTTTGATGTGAGGCAGGCTGATCAGGGATCAGATACACGCGCGTCAGATCCATGCAGCCACCCCCTCTCCCCGTCTTTGATCTGCGGCAGAGTGTAGTCCTGCTCGCTGTGTTTCTGCAGCTGACATGGTGAGCGGACCGGTGCGGGACACACAGCTCACCTCTCACCGGTCTGCTGTCGACTTAAAACCACCAACAACTTCACTTAAATACTCTTTTTCTCTCAGGTAAGAAGAGACTTTCATTCGTTTCTAGACTTTCGATGTTTGGGCTCTTACGACAACGAACACAGAACAAGCCTTTGGTTCGTTTCGGTTGGTTTTCAAGCTTTACATGTGCACTATAGCCACTGGTGTAAAGTAACTAAGTACTTTAAAGTACTGTACTTTAGAACAATTTTGAGGGACTTGTACTTGACTTCAGTATTTCCATGTGTTGCTACTTAGTACTTCTACTCCTATACAAGTCAGAGGTAAATTGTGTACTTTTACTCCACTACATTTATTTAATACCTTTAATTACTTAGCAAATTTGGATTGATGATGTGAAATAGAATCAACACTTAAATAAGACTTTAGTTACACCTGGAGTAAAATTCTCAAGCTACCCTGCAGTATACAAAGTCATTAAAACTAGCTGCACCTTTACCAGCGTTGATAACACTTTAATGCATCAATAATTATAATCAAAACATATAATATATATTATTCTGAAATGTGCCAATCTGCATAATGAGTACTTGTACTTTTGGTACTTTAAGTATATTTTGATGCTGATACTTTTGTACTTTTACTTGAGTAACAATTTGATTGCAGAACTTTCACTTGTAACTAAGTAGGTTCTTATACTCTGGTACTTCTACTTTGACTTAAGTCCAAGATATGAGTACTTCTCCCATCTCTGACTATTACAATAACGATACTGTTATTGTAGCTACACTGTAAGATAAACTGACTGCAATGTGGCTTTCAAATTTGCAGTGGTTGAAAAGTTACTCAGATGTTTTACTTAAGTAAAAGTACCGATACTACAGAGTCAAAATACTCAGTTACAATTAATAATCCTGCATTCAAAATTGTAGAAAAAAAAGTATTAGCAACATTAACTTATTATGAATTATGTAACCTTATGTACCGAAGTAGTCATTGTGCAGAATGGTCCATTTAAGCACCTATATATTGGTACTTTTTAAAATTATAATTATTATTGCATTAATGTGTTCATCACTTCACTGTGGCACTTGATAAAGGTGGGGTTTATTTGAATTACATTATACACTGCTGGGTAGCTTTACCTATAATATAATGTGATATTGTACGAGTTAATTTATATCTTTTAATAATAGTGGTAACTAAATGTGTTAAATAAAATAGGTTAGTAAAACTATAAAGTAGCATAATGTGAAAATGCTCAAGTAAAGAAGAAGTATCTAAATTGTGTACTTAAGTTCAGTACTTGTCTATATGTACTTAGTTACATTCCACCACTGGAAAAAGTACTCAGATGTTTTACTCAAGTTCAAGTAGCAGTACATAATAGTTACATTCCTGTATTTAAAATGTTACTTAAGTAAAAGTAAAAAAGTATTAGCATAAAATTAGACTTAAAGCACCAAAAGTAAAAGTACTGGTTATGCCTAAAGACCCATTTCAGAAACATAAGGTGTATATGAAATGACTGGATTATGATCGGAGGTGAAAGAAAGTGCTCAGATCCTTTACTGAAGTAAAAGTAGCCATACCTTAATGTCAAAATACTCCATTACAAGTACAATTCCCACATTATGAAGTACAGATCAGTTTAATGAACTTAAAGTATAGCAAAGTTAGTTTATGCTTTTTTATTACAACCTCCACAGATTTACATTAAGAAGACTCATAGGAACATTACAAAAAAATAAATAAGATGGAAACTATGTACATACTTGTACCTTACTTTAGTATTTATATACGTTTACTCTACTTCACTTAGCTTTAGGGACTTTTCAGATGTTGAATTAAAAACATGTGATAAACTTTCAACATAATGCATCTCTAAACATTTAACTAGTGGACAAACATGTTTAAGGTACAACAAAGTACAATTAAACAATATATTACAAAAAGGTATTCGCATTAATAATGTGTGCATCAAAACTGTGTTTCAACAACAGTAAAATGCTGCTTGATGCAACAATATTAACAATCTCAAAATGTCATATATAAAATAATATATCACATATTTCTGCATAGTTAGTACTTTAACTTTGTATACTTTAAGTACATTTTGCCGACCTGTACTTTTACATCAGAAGGTGCGAATTTGACTTTTTATTGAGTTTTTTGACAAAATGAATGGCTACCTTTATTTCAATACAGGATCTGAGTACTTCTTCCACTGATCATAATCCAGTACATTTAAATATATGATCCTGAAATGGGCCTTTAGGCATTACCATTACTTTTACTTTTGGTACTTTAAGTATAATTTGATGCCAACACGTTTTACTTTTATTAAGTAAGATTTTGAATGGAGGACTTTCACCTGTAACTTGAGTACTTTTACAAATTGACTACTTATTCCACCACTGCCTAAACCTGCCTGTATTGGTGGTACAACTCAGAACAAAATGTTAGTTTTGAGTTTTGCCTCAAAAAAGTTATTACTTGTACTTTTGAGAGTGACAATCAATTTGCATACTAGTACTGAGTGGTCTTCTGTTGTGTCCTGTTTACAGCTGCAGGCAACAAGTGCTTCATCAACATGTTCAGCATCCTTCAACACACCTTCTCACTTCTGCTCACCATGCATGTCATATATTCAGCTCTGGTAAGCATTTCATCATTTTATTTTCAACACAAGAAAGAAAACAAGATCATTTTGTTCTTTTGATTTGCTTACAACCTATAATTACCACAATTTACAGTGTCCGACCCGTGCAAAACATTTCCATTAGGATAAACGCTTTGCAGTTTCAAAACCGATGTAAATATAAAAACACAAATGTGCCAAAACACATAGAAATGACGAAATGACGAAACATCTTCACCAACTTGACAACACATGGATTTAGAAAACATTCACCAACTTGGCGAAACAAATACAGCATTTACTAAAAGCGCTGTATAAACAAAACAATTCAAGATGGAAGTTGGCCAAGACCAAGAGTGAAAGTACAATAAAGGCAAACAAAGAATGGTGTTACCGTAGTGGTACATTTGAGTTTTTTTACGTCAAAATTCATAATCATTTGACAGATTAATTAGTACTTTAATACATCCAGAGGTTTGCCATGTCAGAGTTTTTCAGTATCGAGGCAAATCAGGTTTAACTGTCAGGACTCCCAATCAAAGATGTCTTCTGTCTGTAAAGTTTTCTTTCAAAATGACTTAAAAGTTTTACTCTCATCCTTAAAAGCGCTGTATAAACAAAACACTGCAAGAAGCTCAAACACAACAGAAACCAGGGGACACTTAAAAGTGATGCACACAGCTTGGACTGGAACATTTGGTGACTGTTGAAGTATTTCTACTTTTACCTAATTAACTCTAGAACCGCCAACGGGTACATTTTACCCGCAGCTGTTTCTTGATTGTATGTAACTTTTTTTCAACAAAATATTCAAGTCTCCCAGTCTGTGACTTTTCCTGAAAGTGTGTTATGTAGCACCCTCTGTTGTTAAAAATGGTCAATATGAAGTCAGATTGAAAAAATTGCCAAAATAATTGCCATTTATACCCATCAGCGCCAGCGGGTAATATTTACCTTGTAGAAAATGCAGTGACTCTCGCGCTATTGATCTTGCGCGTAAACATAAACATGACGTGTTGCTATAGCAACGCCTTTTGTTTACTGCGGTTCCTTATAGATAGAGAGAGAGAGATAGATAGAGAGAGAGATAGATAGATAGATAGATAGATAGATAGATAGATAGATAGATAGATAGATAGATAGATAGATAGATAGATAGATAGATAGATAGATAGATAGATAGATAGATAGATAGATAGATAGATAGAGAGATGGATAGAGAGATGGATAGATATATAGATAGATAGATAGAGAGAGAGAGAGAGAGAGAGAGAGAGAGAGATAGATAGATAGATAGATAGACATTTTTAGCTATGTTTTATAATTCATGCTATCTGCACACTAGATATCATATGGAAGCTGAGAGTCCACAGATTCTATTGGTATAAGTTTCATCACTGTGCGATCAAAACTCACTCTTAACCCTGTGTTCTAGTATGATAAATAAAAGAACATTGTACCTTGAAAATCAATGCATTCTAATAGCGGGTACATTTTACCCGTTGGCGGTTTTAGGTATACAGCGACCCCTGGCGGTTCTAGTGTTAAAGGATTCTGATTACTTCCTCCACCTCTGCACACATGCACATGAACTGCTTAACAGGCAACGGCTGGTAACACTGACAAGTCTGAGAGTCATTTTACTTTTTTTGTATTTGTATTGTATTTGCTATCTTCTCTCTTGCGATCCTTGTATTGTTGCTTTTGATTAAGAATCTGCTGCTTTTCCCACAGGGCTCATTATATGTTATCTCATCCCAACAGTATCAGACTTGTTTTTGAAGAAATCCCTTTAAACTATTATGAGAGAGATTAGCTGTGGATTCAGTCTGTTGTGGATGAAAGTAGTGATGACACACAGGAATCTCTAATTTTCACCAAACGTCTGTCCCCTCAGATTCCTGTGGGGGCCGAGGAGGAGACGAGGGAGTGCCGAGAGCAGGAGTACAAGGACCGCTTCGGGAGCTGTAGACCCTGCAGGCAGTGTGATGCAGGACAGGAGCTCTCAAAGGTGGGTACTCCTTCAATAAACAGGGTTATTTAAAGGTCACCTATTATGCAAAATCCACTTTTTCATGTCTTTTATACATAAACATGTGTCCCCCTCTGTGTAAAGAGATTCTGAAAGTTTCAGGAAAAAAGATTCTCTCACTTTTTGTCCTGATCCATTTATATAAAGCCTGTGTGAAAATGAGCTGATCAGATTTTGGCCACTTTATGATGTCATAACGATTTTTTGGCTTGTGTAACCATTAGCCAATAACCAACCAAGGTAACACCCCCCCACCTTATCACCTGAATCTCCTCCTAGAGCACCATTGTGTTCTTTTTAACCAAATATCTCTCAGAGGGGCGTGGGGAGTGGCTCCTTATTTTTCATCTAAAGTAACAGACAGAGAATCAGCACTTTTGAAACGGGGCTGAAACAGAGGGGATTATGGGATGCTGCCATGATCTGTTAAACACTTCAGAGACATGTTTTGTATATATCTGAGACCTATAATATATTGATGAAAAACAGTATAAGAGGGGACCTTTAAAACATATTTTGCATTACAATAACTAGTTACCTGTACAAAAAAAAGTAATGTAATCTGAGTATCACAATATAAAAAGTAACCTGATTAATTACCTCAAATATGAGTGGATTAACTCAAATAAAGTTGTATTATGTCAAAATTGTGCTTAAGTCCTTGAGTAAATGTACTTAGTTACTTTCCACTGCTGGTATTAGGCAGCAGCTGTTGGAGCTAAGTGCTAACATCACAACACAGTCTCACGGCATTTCGTGTTATAGTCACGAAATTAATCTATTGATTCGTGTTCACCAACACGATTTCGCCATTCTTTTCGTGTCACACAGAACGATTTTAAAAGCAATGTAAATAATAACAAATTAGAAGGAAAACCACATTTAAAAAAAATACAGATTTAAGTATTCTGACACAGAACGATTTTAGAAGCAATGTATTTATATTGGTAGTATGTTTCGTGCCTGCACCAAATAATAACAAATTAGAAGGAAAAAAAGATGACATAAAATACAGATTTCAGTATTCTGAGGCTCTGAGCCATTTCTTTTCCTCACTGACGGCAAAAAAAACTCAGACATTATACAATTTAAAATAAAAGGGATAGGGTTAGGCTTAGGGTAAGATATTGAGTAAGAACATGTTTTTATGAACCACACAGCTTCTGGTCTTCCAAGACCCGACCGGAGAAAAAGACGTGTTGCAGGCACGAAACATACTACCAATAGAAATACATTGCATTTAAAATCGTTCTGTGTGACACGAAAAAAAGGTGAAAATCGTGTTGGTGAACACGAATCAATAGATTAAATTAATTTCGTGACTAATAACACGTGAGACTGGGTTGAACATCAGCATGCTAACATGTTCACAAGGGACATGCTCTGTTTGACTATAGCTCTAAAGGCCACTACACACCCACCTGAGACCAAAGAACGCGTACCGAAGGCGTCCCGACTTTTACGTCAGCTACGTCGCCTGCGTCGGCTACGCCGCCCGCTACGCCGCCCGCCTACGAACACACCGCAAATACTTCAGTCGACGAGTGGCAATAACTGTCCTTACCAGCAGGCAGCGGTAGTGTGAACAGCCAATCAGAGTGATTGCTTGGGCCGACTTTCTCTGACCTCCCGCGGGAGGTGTGACAAGGTGCCGTAAAGAGACGACGGTGCGGGACACACCAACCTGAGTAGGGCGCCGCGAATGCCCGACTGCCTCTGACGGCCTCTGACTCCCAAAATCGGGTTGGTGTGTAGCCAGCTTAACACCCACTGTGCCTAGTACCAGTGCTTGAAAGTAACTCAGGAAATGTACTAAAGCACCATATTTAAGAACTATTTTGACCATGCTCACCATCTTAAAAGAGCTAGCTAGCATGCTAACATTTGCTAAATGGTGCTAAAATGATTACTGTGCCTGAATGTCATTTGTTTTTGCAGCCATAAACAAACCTGACATAATTCTATCAAGTTCTGTGAATCCTTAAAATATGCCTTCACGTTATACGGCTGATTCTCAAAGGTTTTTGTTGCTGTTTTTCTGGTTTTATGTGTCAAAAACAATCAACAAAAGGGGAAAACTTACAACATTTGCCTTGGAAATGAAGTTGAGTAGAAGTATAAAGCAGCATAAAATGGAAATACTCAAGTAAAGTACAAATATACTTGAGTAAATGTACTTTCCACCACTGGTAGTCCAATGAGGGATCTATTATCGGTCAGTTGAATCAACTTCCTGTACCTAAAGGAAGTGGGATGGTGAAAAAAAACATCTCTGCAAATGAAAAGCAAGGACAATGTTTAGAAAAGTGTATCCAACATTATTTATTACTTCCTCTCTTTCATGCAGAGAGCAGCCGGGCCGTTATTAGCTTTAGTTGAACACCGACCCCTCTTTAATCAGTCACACCCATACTCCTGACCTCCTGCGGCTGAATGGCTTCCATTGTTTCTCCCCGTTGCTCCCTGTCCAACTCATTGTCTTCACCGTTTGAAGCCAGCCATGCCTAAGCTTGCTGCTCTTTCAACTGTGACTACACTTCTCCTCTCCTCCACCTACCTTAGCCACAGGTTTATGTGTGCTTTGTACAAACAGGCTTCAATAGAGTCAGCTTTTTCCTCTCTTGCAGCCAGCGTTGGGAGGGTTACTGAAAAAATGTACTCTGCTACAATTACTAGTTACCTGTAAAAACGCTTAAAATCAGTGACTCTAAAAAAAGAAACAAAAAAAAGAAACCAAGATATTTAGGATTAAAAATGTGTCCCCTTTAATGATATGTATAGTTGTATATGCATTATGAAAGAAAAGAGTTTAATGTAAACTTAATGATAATAGTTTTTCTTGCAGTTTTTTTCTTGAGTGCATCCTTTGTAAAGTTTTCCAAGACCAAGAGTGAAAGTAAGGCAAACAGAACATTGTGTTACTGTAGTGGTACATTGTGTTACTGTCGTGATACATTTTTGGTTTTATATGTCATCATTCATAAACATTTAATAGGTTAATTAGTACTTTAATACATCCGGAGGTTTGCCATGTCAGAGTTTTTAAGTAGAGAGGCAAGTCAGGTTTAACTGTCAGGAGTCACAATGAAAAATGTCTTCTGTCTGTAAAGTCTTCTTTCAAAATGACTGAAACTTCTACTCTCATCCCAGCTTTCCCCTACTGGTGGAAAAACTCTGCATCACCCTTGACATCTGTTGCACACATGCATTTAAGCCTGGTTGCCTTTAATCTCTGTGCACGCAGACATGCACTCTGTGGTCGGTCATACGCTTCAGTAGTCCTCGTGTTCCCTCAGCTCCACAGGCATGAATGCTGCTAGCCACCCCGGGGTCCTGGTTAATAATTGGCCGCCTCGCTCTTTCTCTGAAGGTAGCGGGAGTCCCGCTCACAGAGGCGACCCGGCCCTGCAACTCAGAGAAAGTTTCCCAGAGAAACAACTTCTGATCTGAAGACAATCCATGCATGTTCTGAAAGGCAGGGCTCAGAGGGAAGCAGACTTTTGGAGTCGCTCTGTGCAGCTGCCATGGAGATCCCAGAGGAATGTGCCCCAGTTTGCTCTGGAAGTTTGCCTCTGGAAGCTGCTCTTAGGCGGGCTGACACACATCAATTAGCCCCTTTACACTAACTGTAGCTAAAAGAACCACACACAGAGGGAACGGCCATTAAATTAAAACCACTTATTTTGTCTCAGACATTTTTCATTCATAGTAAGTTGGACATGTGCTGTATCAAGCATGCAAGGGGAAATGCTGGAAGACTGCCAGCAGCCTAAAAACACAACTTTGATGTGTCTTGTAGTTTGTAGCAAGAGTGAAACATTTCCTGCAGCCACACTTCCAGGGCAAAGGACTTCTGAATGAGAGACAAAAGGGTGTAAAAGCAACATATAAAATTGTCAAATTCAGAGAACAAGCATTATCTTCACTGTTATGTGTATAAAAAAAACATAAACCAGCTGTAATAGAGTGAAGACATACTCTGACAGCCCAATCATAGCTATCATTTTAAAACTTAACAAAGGAATTGCTACGGACAGACAAATATTCAAAGTAGCCGTGAAAAAAGCAATTACTCGTAAAGGCAGAATCTTCTACAGCATTGGATGAAAATCATTCATGAGATGGAGAGACTGACATGTTTATAACACTAATAAAAGAGTGTTTTAAACATGTAAACCACACTGTAAAATGGTCTCAATAGTTAACATATATCTTGAATTAGTATGATTGGAGATATACCCTACTCATCTACTGTTGGGATTTATACTGACCTTGATTATTTGCGGGGAAACATGCATTGATAAATCACCATCTTGTGTCCATAATACACAAGAATGAACTTTCTGAAGACTCTAGAACACGGGCTGTCTGGTTACTGTGTGGATGTTGCTTTTTAATTGTCTGAACAAATCAAGTTTGAGTGGGGGAAAGAGTGTAACAGAGAGGAGTGTGTTGTATCCCAGACAGAGCACTGCTCTAGCTCTCATACTTTGTTTTCAGTGTTGGTTCATTACCAGATCAGATGACTTGCTGCCCCCCTTGTGATTCCCTACTAATCTCAGAAATATCTCTGCGTCTGAACATGCTTCAGCTCTCTCTCTCCTCTACACTCCTCTGCTGTTATGCTTGGCAGTCCCACTAAACTAGATCAGGAGATAGGGCATGGCAATGGGATGTTTAGCATCTGTTTTTAAGGATTCACACATGAATGTCCATTTGCTTAAAGGGGCCCTATTCAGCTCATTTCCAGGTTCATATTACTATTATGTGCCTCTACTCTGACATGTCTCCATGCTTTAATGTTCAAAAAGCTCTTTATTTTTCTCATACTGCCTGTGCTGCAGCACCACTTTTCACCCTCTGTCTGAAACCAGAGCCCAGTCTGCTCTGATTGGTTAGCTGGTCGGCTCTGTTGTGATTGGTCAACCGCATAGAGATATCCCGCCTCTTATCCTCATCTCATACAATGTGTTGTAGAGCTAGCCAATAGAAGTCGACTACTTAAAGTGGACCTATCATGCTATATTTGAATAATATATTGTAGGGCCATACCTATATAAAACATGTCTGTGAAGTTTCTTTTTCAAAATACCAAACAGATCATGCATTTTAGCCATGCCTCATTTCGCTCTATTTGCTCTATTCCAGCCCTGTCTTCACAAGGGCTGATTCTGTGGCAAATGAGCTGCAGCTGACCACGCCCCCCTGCAAAGGAGGGGGGCGAGGCACGAGCGTCATGTTACCATGCTGTTACCATGCCACGGCAACCTCTCATTCCCCTGATAGGTGGAGAGTTGCCCATATAGGCGGAGCACCCCGTTTCTGACGTCAGAACAATTTCAAATCTGTATCAGTCTGTATCAGATCCGTTGCAGCCCCGTTTTTAGAGATTTGGGTATGGAGGAAAAGAGAGAGGGTTGTGTTTTCTGACACTTGGTGAGTTCCCTGACACACCGGGGACACATATTCATGTATAAAAGACGTACAAAAGTGCATTTTGCATGATAGGTCCCCTTTAAGTTAAGTGCATTGATGTCAAAACGGTACTCAATTATGGTGCTTAAGTAAATGTACTTTTGTTACTGTCCAGAACTGCTTAATGTGTATTCATTTGCAGTTATTGGTGGATTTTTAATGGTGTGTTGAGAAAGGCTTACACATTTTGTTCTCATCCTTTCATATAATAACAACGTCACAGTTTACCACAGAGTAAGGAGTTTCTTTGAGCTGCTCAGTCAGTGCAGGATGTTGGCTCTGTGCAGCATTGTTAGCGGGGATAAAAGAAGAAAGAGATCACTCCTTGATGATCTGTGCCGCCTGGATCAGAGGGCCAGAAGTTGGCCTGTTTTTCCTTTTGTTTCAGTGCTCTGACCCGCTCCTGACGACGTGGCATCGGCCCCCGTCCTGCCATGTGGGGCCCCGCAGGCAGAGCTAGTGCCAGTGCTGAGCATGGGGGGGGGGGGGGGGGAAACCATCCTTCATGTGGAAGTGGGTCACCAACAGCACTTTCTTGAGGAGTAGTATTAGGGTTGAGTGCTTTGGTAGTTTTCCAGCCTCCCTTCACTCAGTCTGAGCTTCCCACAGGCACGGGGGCACGGGGGCACGATGATACGATACGATTCGATATGATAAGAGTACTCTGTGATATGGTTACGATATGTTACGATGTGGTTACGACACTACACGTTACAATACTATACAATCGGATACACCACAATACGTAACGATGCGACACGACACCTTACGATACGAAAGGTACGGTATGATGCGTTACTTTGGGATACGATTAGATACGTTGCGACACCTAACGATACGATATGACTCGATACGTTACAATACGACACAATATGTTCAAAACCCGTTACCATACATTTGACCTGGGATTAAACTCTACATGTGTTAATGCTTTGGCCTAACATCATAGGTGTTAACAATCCACATTGGTGTAGTTTAGAAGCAAAGGTCATGGTGAGAAGAACTACAACTCAACACTGAACTAACACCAAATATATTAATTGTATTTCTTTACTCCAGCTGTTCATTTCCATCTCTTGTTTTGTAATTCGTTCTCTTTCAAATCCCTCAAACGTTGTGTTGAAAGACCTCAATGACAAACTGACATTTACATGACAGCTGATATTACTGTACACCGCGCTGAGTGAAAAGCTTCTGCAGGGATGACATCATGCATTGATCCTTCATTATCAGCTCCAAAGCAGCTGCCCTCCTGTTGTCCAGCGGAGCAATCATGGGCCAGGAGGATAGACATGGGGGAGGGGGGGGGGCCAGCTTCAAACGGGGCTTCTCTTCTCTCTTCGCCCGTGTCCCGTTTCACTGCCCGGGCATGCAGTCCTGCAGGAATGTGGGCACAACAAGTCTGATATGGGGGGGGGAGGTTGGGTTAGGGGAAGCAGACTGGCAAGATATAAAGAAGGGAGGGGGGGGTAAAGATGCGATCGTCCGATGGCACCGTCAGAAGATGAGGATTTCAGTCCTTCCAGCCAAACACATGACGTTGAACCCTTGAGCCAGCCTGGCCCGAGGTGGACCGGCGATATGGAGCGTTGCAGCTGTTGTTATGAACTCTCCATATAAGGCCGGGAAGGGAAGGGAAAAGTGGAGGTGGAGGGGGGGGGGGAGAGAGAGACAGAGAAAGAGTGAGAAACAGAGAGGGGGTGGCTGATGAGTGATAAAGAGGGGAAAGGCAGAAGACAGAAGACTTGGTCGCCCACTGTTGCTTCTGAGATTAACACAAAGAAAACAGAGGAAATAAAGTCCCTATCGTCCTCCATACTGAAATAATCAAGCAGGTATTTGATTCATATAAATACTTGGGTGTTATGATCAATGGACAAACACAATAAAGTTGTTTTGGTATCATGTCGTGTCGTGTCGTGTCGTATCGTATTAAATTGTATTTTTCGTATCGCGTCGTTTATATATCAGACTAGAGGTCCTCATTTCTACATTGCCGGTTGTTGTATAAAACAATGTGGAATGTGAAAAAGTTATACTCATTCTAAAAGAAATAATTCAACGAACCAAACATAGTTCTTCTTTCTGTCTACATTTGAGTCAGAGCTAGCAATAACATATTTTTCCCAAAAGATTATCTTTCAAAAACGTCTTGGTTTCAGGTGAACAAATCCTCAAAAGGTGGTTGAGCATTAGATCAGTCACATAGCAGGAGGAAGCTGTGCTTTTAAAGTGCTGTTTCAATTGTTGAAGACGACAAAAAGAGTATTCAACTTATTTTCTCCATATACCTCTCCATAATCCTTACCCCCTTCCTGAGGCGTTTCCTTTTGCCCACTGGCCACTCAATCAACGGGACACTCACAGAGTCTGCTTGGAGAGGGAGTTGCACAAAAACGCAGCAATAAACTTGCAATAATACAACAGTGGGTGTCCCCCAGGGCCTTTATTATTCAAATGCCTGGCCTTTCTGGGTCTTGCAGCGGAAGGCCGCTCTTTCAAACGGAGAGTCAGGGAGATTATTGCCAGTGTAAGATGGACTCTCAAAAGAGGCCGGCCTTTGTTCTCCTCTGATCCCGCGAGCCAAGATCATTCTTTAATTCAGACCCCCGGTAGTCCACATTCAAGCCCTCTTTTCACCAGCTGCCCATCTCCCCAAATCACCAACCCCACCTCTTACGCGGTGTATTTCTCCCGTTAATCCCCCCAGGAATGTGGCTTTGGTTATGGAGAGGATGCCCGGTGCGTGCCCTGCCGGAGCAGCCGCTTCAAGGAGGACCGCAGTCTGCAGAAGTGCAAGCCCTGCCTGGACTGCGGACTCATCAACCGCCTCCAGAAGGGCAACTGCTCGACCACCAGCAACGCCGTGTGTGGAGACTGTCTGCCAGGGTGAGGGGGCGACACACACAGCACAGAAAAAGTGTACTTTTCACAACGACGATAGAGAAAAGGGGGAAGAAGCAGTGAGATCTAAAACATAATAAAGTAGCTACCAGATAAATTAGTAAAGTAAATATTGCACAATGTTTTTTTACAACAGTATTGGGTAGGTAGGTAGGTAGGTAGGTAGGTAGGTAGGTAGGTAGGTAGGTAGTAGGTAGGTAGGTAGGTAGGTAGGTAGGTAGGTAGGTAGGTAGGTAGGTAGGTAGGTAGGTAGGTAGGTAGGTAGGTAGGTAGGTAGGTAGGTGTAGGAAGGTAGTTATATAGCTTGGTAGGAAGGATGTTTGGAAGGTAGGTAGGTAGGTAGTAGTAAGGTAGGTAGGTCTGTAGGTAACTAGGGAGGAAGGTATATTGGTAAGAAGGATGTTAGGAAGGTAGGTAGGTAGGATAGTAGAATTAAAATACTCTATTCAAGGTGTTAAATAAAAGCTATGTAATACATACATTACAAATTGTGCAAAGTAGCTGTTTTGTTGATTAAGATGTTAATGCAGTGAGGTAGTGTGAGTACAAAATGTGCAAATGTTCATGACAGATTTAAAATATTTCCCTTTGTGTGTTCAACAGATATTACAGGAAGACCAAACTAAGTGGTTTCCAGGACATGGAGTGTATCCCCTGTGGAGACCCTCCGCCTCCTTATGAGCCGCACTGTAAGCACCTCTCCTTTCTTTTTCCTCTTCTAACGCTTGGCCTCACATCAGTGGGACATTTTGTTAAATGTTTCCATGAATGAAGGCTATTCATCCCAGCCCCACAATATGTTTTTAAGATGAAACAACTAGGATACAATAGTCCAAAAGCAAACAGCACACTATTGAACTCTAAGCCAAATGCTACCAAAACTCAGGCTGCAGTGCCACAAACATGAAAAAAAAAAAGCCTGTTCACACACGCTCAAGGTCTTTGGTGTAACCAGAACTGCAGACGTTAGAGCAGTTCATTCAGTAAATAAATGCTTGGATTTACAAAGCTAAGCAGTTGAAAAGCTGAAATGGATACCACTAACATAATGCTGGATTTGCCAACGCTGGATTATATTAGCTCAGAATGTCACTCATTTGCAGCACTCACTTTGGATTAAATGAGCAAACTTCCTTAACAAAACCTCTGTTAATATTTCTAGACAAAACATGTCTCAGCGGCATCAAAAAAAAAAAACTACAACAGGTAGTGTGCTCGTTCAAGGCCGCACAATGTATTACCTTTTGTGTGTTACAGTGTGTTCACAGAGCAGGACTCACATTCCAGTAGGCTACAGATCCAATTAACGTCTTTTCTTCCGGCCATTAGAAACGGTTAAGTACAACCTCATGATTTCAGGTTTCCACATAAAAACCAACAAGCCAGTGAACTTATACCTCTGGTAATTGAGTGTGACTTCCTGATGGTAGAGGAGGCTGCAGCTGTTTCTGGGAACACTTTTTGGCAGCGTGAGCATCAGAAGGACCCCAGCCAGGGTTAGCTAGATAAATGGAAACAGTTTGCGGGGTAATGGATTACATGTAACGGGATAACGTAAAAAAAACGATGTATAAATAAAGCAAATGCACACATTACGACTCTTCAGGAGTCTCACTGAGAAACAAGTCTCAGTCAAACCTGAGCTAATCTTCAGTTCATCATCATGGCCTGTAGTTCAGAGAATGAATTCACTTGGGGGACATTTCTCCCTCTACTGTATGTGGTAAACTAAACTAAACTACATCACGGATATTTAAAGGGGACCTATCATGCAAAATGCACTTTTTGATGTCTTTTAAATATGTGTCCCCGGTGTCATCAGCACTTTTGAAACAGGAAGTGAAATAGAGGGATATGAGGCATGGCTAGAATGGGTGATCTGTTTGGTATTTTGAGCAAAACACTTCATAGACATGTTTTTTATATATTTGTATATATCTGAGACCTATGCTATCGCCTAAAAATAGCATGATAGGTGACCTTTAAGGCACTTCTTTTTTCTATTTTCCCCATTTCTCACAAACATCTAATTTGAGGAATCCTAATAACTGATGTTGTGTGGCTTTACTTCAAACTCAAACCATTGTTTCTCTTTACACTGAGCAAAGAAAGATGAAATGCACACCTGCTTTGTGTAATCCAGTTGGAAATAGTCATTAGAACAACACAGGGATAAACTACAAAGAGCAAGTATGCATTTGTCTGTCTGCATGATTTCAGTGTGTGTTAGCAAGGTTTAGTCAGCTCTGCAAGAATCTACCGTGACAGTGAAAAACTCCAGCAGATGAAACACATTACAGAGGCTGAAGGAATCCATAAAACACAGTCTCGTTTCTTTACTCGGCTCCAAAAAGCCACCGGGGGAAAGAGAGGAGGAAGGGGGAGTTAAGATTTACAGTCCTCCCCTGCACAGATGCACCGCTGCCCCCGGCCAGCGTGGCCTTTTAGAAAAAGATCTGCCCTTCAAGTTTTCACCACCCTCCTGGAGATAACACTGGGAGGGAGGCGCAGGACTTTCAAACATTTGGAAACGCTCCGCTGAGAGTCCCGTCAGGAGCTAACTACCAGCTATGTTCTCAGACACAATGGACATTTTGTCTGGCATGCAGGCCTCCTCCAGTGTCTGAACCCGAGAGCTCACAGATGGACGGACGAGCAGACAGTTGTGTCAAGGCCGGCGTTCATCACACAAACACTGAAACAGCATGTTTGAAAGGAATGAAAAAGACAAACAGTAGAGATGTTCTAATTAAAGCATTACTCTTACATTAACCTCATCTGAGTATCACAATATAAAAGGAACCTGATTACTTTCTTTTGGGTTACCTCAATAGGAAATGCAATGCAGATAGATCCAAGATAAAATAAATATCAACCAGATGTTTTTTTACTTAAGTGTATTATGTAGGAGAACAGAACAATGTGACCTTTGAAAGAAGAAACCAAGATAATTAGGGGTCATTTGTTCAGAGATTTTATTTATATGAAAACCTGCCTTTCATTAAGCAACAAACAACAATCACTATGCGCTTTTTAGTTTTCTACTAACATTGTAATCCTAATAATAATCCACCATTTAAAAAAATATAATCTGATCACATATTTTTCTATTCATCTGTAAGGGAATACAGTTACGTTTTTGTATCCTAATTACTTAAACCCTGTTACATGTAATTTATTACTCCCTGAACGTCTCGTGTTATATTACAGTCTGTTGAGCCCTCAAAGCAGAGATTACCGTGATAATCTTCATATACACAGACAGGGTATTGTATTTTAAACATGTAACATCTCTCCATTGTGCTTGAATTTGTTCTGCTGGTCACTTTTATCTCGTCCAAGGTGAGCATCACCTGCAACCCCCCCCCCCCCCCCAAACAAAGGCCTCCTGTTATCTGAGGCGCAGCAGCTGCAGCACACACACACACACACACACACACACACACACACACACACACACACACACACACACACACACACACACACACACACACACACACACACACACACACACACACACACACACACACACACACACACACACACACACACACACACACACCTGCTGATATTATCTGCTCACCAATAAACCGCAGCCTTTCATTCCTCCCTGCATGTTGACTTTATGGGATGCCACATACTCCAAATAAAAGAGGCACCTCTTTACACCTCACAGGGGTTTCAAACGTTTGTTCTCTTTTGGTGTATCCAGTTTTCTATTTGATGTGATTTTTAAAGTATTTATTGCATTGTATTTCAGCATCAATGCCTGTGTGTAGAAGGGCCATACATGAGCAAATATAAATGCATGATGTTATACCAAGAACTTTGGATTCAACTATTTCACTTTTACATGTACATGGTGTGAAAAGACCTGTGGGAATCACAACAGAGCCAGCCAGCTAACCAATCAGAGCAGACTGGGCTCTGGTTTCAGACAGAGGGTGAAAAGAGGTGCTGCAGCACAGGCAGTATGAGACAAATAAAGAGCTTTTTGAACATTAAAGCATGGAGACATGTCAGAGTAGAGAAACAAAAAAACGAATATGCACCTGTCACCTGTGTGAATCGAGCGTTATATGTATTTCAGTCAGACAACTCACGTGTTTCTTTAACATGTTTATTAGAAGCAGCATATAGTTGAGTTTGACGACTAGGCTCGGGCATCATCACTCCACAGATATACATAGCACGATGAGTGATGATTAAATAACTAACCCCCCGAGCCTACAGGTGGAAGCTGGGGTGGAAGCTGGGGTGGTGGTGGGGCAGGCAAGCAGCAGCAGCATGAAACACAGCGGTAGCAATGTGAACGCAATAGCAGGGCACGAACGCAGCAGCAGCAGCAAGCAATGCATGGAGAGAGATCTGGCAGAATAGAGCGGCATATTAAGGAGACTCTGTTTGGTTGGTTGTAGAGTGGCAAGGGGCGTTATGTATGAATGCAGCATAAGTGCTCGAGTTGACTGCCTGAACTAGCTCGCAGGCTTCGCCCCATTTTAGTTAGTTAGTGTGCCCTCTGGGTCAAACTCGTTTTTATGATTTTTTCTTTTTTGTCTTCCCCTGGGAAGGCATGTCAAAATACCCTCATCCCCCATGTGGCTGAATGAAAAAGCTGCTCAGAGCTAAAGTAAAGTTTACAGTGCATGACAAAGAGCTATGTGTTGTGGAAAGGTTGGACCTCTATGATTAATGTTCTGAAAAGCAAACAGCAGCGCTCACTGAAAAAGATTTTCTCAAACAAAAAGCCATTCATCTTTTTATATCGTCGTATTCATCAACAATCTCTCACAATTCACAGCGTCAGACCTGCATACTTCTAATATTTGCTCTGCAATAACACACATCCTCCCTGTCGTATATACATGCATTGATGAGGAGAATTGCATTTGATTACTGATAATGACTGAGGCATGTACATACCCATAGCAAAACAGTCCTGAAACATGTCATACTGTTCGGTTGTTTTGTGATCTACGTATATAAACATGACATTCTGTTGTGTTTTAAATGTTGCTACTCTCTTTTGTTGTGGGGGAGGATTAGCCTTTATTTGAGAGTGACTACTCTATTGTTAACACTTGGATCACTTGCTTCTCTCTTTGAAGAGGTCTTGAAAGGATAATTACCTGTAGCAGACGCTATAATAGTGCCAGATCAACTGTGATATCTAACCTTTAGAAGTATTACACTTTGGTGTTCTGTATCTTTGGGATCTATAACCAGCATTGTCGAGGTTTAAAAGTCCTTAATAGAGTGGTGCAGTGATGACGTATTTGTGTAGGATGACCTAGAAGTTAGCATCATAAGGTTATAAAGGAACTACGGCACGGTCACATGACTTCATGTCAACACCGTTAAGCTAAAGTTAGCTAATGTTTGGAGTGATGACGTTTAGTCGTCTCATTTAGACACTTGTTAGCAACCGCCGTTTTTAAATTCACCAGTGGGGTATTTACTGACGTATTTTGTGACGTAAACCAAAACGTTAAAATCTCTTCAGCTTGTGTTAACCACAGATCTTATTTCAGGTTTACCAACAACACATTCAGAAAGCTATTGACCTCCAGACGAGGGAACTGGAAAAGTGCTGACTAACTTCTGCTTTTTAGGACTCACTCCTGCTCCACTCTGTATGAGAGTGTCTGAAGGGTCTTGACGATGAGACCTGTTTGAAAGTGGCCTAATCGTGAAATCACTGCACTAACTCACCACCGCAGACACAGTGACACACAGAAGCGTTACAAAAAACACACCCACACATATATTTCCTATTTCAAAATATGAAATATGTCTTTCTCCTGATTTCATGTCTGTGTGACGAGCGGTGAGGAAGCCCCGGGGCGGTGGGCGGTGGGGGGGAAGGTGTCTGTAAATCATCTTCTGTGGGGAACCAGACAGAGAGAATCCACCACAGGCGTTTTCTCTTTGAACACCTATTTCATTAGATTTTCAGCCAGGAGATGACTGGCTCAAGGCGCAAACGAAATTATGTGTCTCACGTTACCCGACTCTGATTGGCTGTCGGATAATATGAAGTAGCTGCTCCTCTAAAAAAAACGACTTGATGTTCAAAAAGCTCTTTATTTTTCTCATACTGCCCTCTGTCTGAAACCAGAGCCCAGTCTGCTCTGATTGGTTAGCTGGCCGGCTCTGTTGTGATTGGTCAACCGCAAAGAGATGTCCCGTCCCTTAGCCTATCACGTACAATGTGTTGAAGCGCTAGCCATTAAAAGCGCAAATGTTACTTAGTGATGTCATTATGTTACAGGCGTAAACAAAGGAGTCCTATTGAGGGGGTTCAGGCAGGTGGGGGGGTGGGGGTTGTGGGAGAGAAACTCAGGGATTTTAGCCTTAGCAGACCATTTACGTGCACACAAATCTAAAGAAGACTACAGGGAAGGGAAAACTGCAAAAAGCAGAATAGGGCCTCTTTAATTAAGCAAAAGGAGCAAAACTACAGTTACAATACTTGTTTACAACTAAAACTAAGTAGGTAAACAAGTATTAGCATCATAATATATTTAAAGAACCATATATGTATACAGTATATGTGATTTTTACAGTAAATGAGCTATTGGTAAATGAGCTTTTGGTAGGTTGTGTATATCCATATATTTTTCCGGGTTTCAGGTGCATCACGTAGATTGAAAGTACCCTGATGGTTTGCTCTCATGTATAAACCCTTATCGTGTTTCTCATGTCTCTCCCCCCCCCTCTCCCTGCAGGCAGTGGGCGAGTGAACCTGGTGCCCCTCCCCCCGGTGGTTACCAGCCCGCGGGACATGGCGCTGGCGGCGGTGATCTGCAGCGCGCTGGCCACCGTGCTGCTCGCCCTGCTGGTCCTCTGCGTCATCTACTGCAAGAGGCAGCTGCTGGAGAAGAAGCCCAGCGGTGAGTCTCAGCCTCTGCACATCTGCTTGTTCACAATATGTTTATTGGTATTTTCTTATTGAACAACAACCAAAAACCATAGACAGACACATACACGCATACACACACCCTCAACTTGCACCAGTATTAAAAGCATGCGCCTACAAATAAAATACATAAAACAACATAATTTCACAGTTTCCTTTCAGAGGCAGTCCACATTCCCATCCCTCATGATGTGCACATACGGCTCCCAGAGCTGAACAAAGTCTGTTCACGTACTTTTATCCAAAAAAAGTTGATCTCTGAAAAAAAGAATTGGCTGAATCAGGACAGGTGTAACCTCTGATGAGTGGTGCTTTGAAACATGTCTTCAAAGATCAATGCAAACGCCTGAAGTTAGAAAACACTATTCATGCACTTCTGCTTAAGTTCCTACTTTTACACATATTCAGTTTTCAGAACAACTAAACAATGAAGATTTACATAGTGATGAGCTAGCAGTGGTGGAAAGTACATTTACTTACTGCACTTAAGTTCATATTTGAGTATTACTCTACTAAATGTATTAAACAGCTTTAGTGACTTTTCAGATGTTGCATTAGAAAACATGTGATAAACATAATCCATCTCTACTAACTGTTTAATGTACAACAAAGTACAGATAACAATACATTTGAAAAAGTTCCTAACTTTTACATTTGGTACGTTAGATTAATGTAATGCCAATACTATTGTACTTTTACTATAGTGACATTTTGAATAGAGGACTTTTCCTAACAGAGTACTTTTACAATTTAGAATGACTACTAGAGTACTTCCTCCACCCCTGGATATATGATGTGTTTTTGAGATTTACTGAGTTCTGTAGAAACTAGAAGCACATGTTTTGTTGCCGTGTTTTATTTCCTTGTGCACCACAGCGATTAAAGTTGTGCAAGAAATAAAAAAAGTGCATGTTAAAATATGAGTGGCACTTATGAATCCCTTAATAATCGCTCTTTTGTCAGCTTCACAAACACGGTGCCAGTTCATCTGTCAGCCGTGATCTCCAGTGTTAAGCTTTATTAAACCCCGATGTTACATATTTGTGGGAACTTGTATAATGAGCCGCATTCTTCAGACTAAAAGCGCTGGAGTATGTGAAACGTCCCGGGGCGAGGAGTTAATGACATCACGTTTTCCTGATGAACCTGAAAACAAAGATAGAAGTTACCAAGGCGTGACCAGTTACCTGTTTTTACCCATGTTTTAGTGTAGGGGTGAACACAAGTGAACTATTGTTTTACTCCAAACATGCGCCCCACCCTTTGCCCAAGCTGCTACAAAACACTCACAGTTTAAATTATACTCAAGAATTTTAATCGTCCTCATGGACCCGAGGGTTGTGAGGCATTCCTCAACACTTTAAAGAGCATGAAAGAAGCTTAGTCAGATCTGAAGCACATCTGAAGCCAAGAGGATTTCACCTGACGACGGCAATTAGACAACAAATCAAAATTCCAGGCTGTTTCTGTTACCATTTTTAATAAGGTTTTTATTCTATTGAAGCAAAAGGGTACACATTTCTGAAAAAGCAAAACATGAACAACAAGAATAAAATGTAATAAAATTAAATAAAACAAATAAAATGCAATAAATAAACATGCAGAACAAAACGACCAACAGGAAAAAATATATATATATATAAAAAAATGATGAGTATCTAGTTAATTTAGGAAAAGAGAGTAAAAAGGCGGGCTATTCTTTACAGGTCATAAAAGTACTACCTTACTTTAGCAAAGGGGAAGATTTGCATACATCTCATTACATGGTTTATAACACATTTAGATTAGCAAGCTGAACTAAATACTTTTAAAGGTTGTAAACATTTCCAAAAGATAGGTAATGCAACCTGGCAACCCAAAACATGTCTTTGTCGCAGGTAACTGCACTTTGAAAACTAAAATGTTGACTTAACCCTTGTGTTGTGTTCGTTTTCCCGCCCTTACTTTGGTGTTCGCGGTCAAATTTGACCGGTCCTGTTTTAACTGCTATTACATTAAGACAAAAACCATTAATCATCACCAAATTTCATTTAACACCCTTTCAAACTGTACATATTGTATCAGACTACTGGTATACATGAAGAACTGCAGTAAATATACAAAGAATAGACACTGAACATGTATTGCGTGTGCCGGGAAATGTATCAAATTGTTCTGTGGGTGTGTTTGTGTGGGGGGGGAAACACATCTAGTGCATGTGTGTCTGTGTGTGTGTGTGTGTGTGTGTGTGTGTGTGTGTGTGTGTGTGTGTGTGTGCGTGCGTGCGTGCGTGCGTGCGTGCGTGCGTGCGTGCGTGCGTGCGTGCGTGCGTGCGTGCGTGCGTGCGTGTGTGTGTGTGTTTACCGGGAGCACCATGGGTGTTACAAAGTTGAGTAAATCAAATCAAGAAAGTGGTGATCAGCAATTGTATATGTTCAAATGTCAGGATATCATAAAGCCTTAATGCAATCGAATGTAAAACAAAAAAGTTATGATTGATGAAAGTAGTAAATCGGTCAGATTTGACCCGAACACAACAGGAATGAAATGTATCATGTCAACAGATTTCATACAACTGTATTAGGTTAGTTGAAAGCAATAATATTAAGTTTAAAAAAATAAAAATATGAGGTTCAACTTAATATTATTGCTTTCAACTAACCTAATACAGTTATATGAAATCTGTTGACATGATACATTTCATTTAGTTTTTTTCGGTGTGATGTAAAAACCATTATAAAGGGAAATAATATTATCAATACTGTCCTGTGTGTTGCTGTTTCTAATGACTGTGGTCCCTCAGCGGCCTCTCTGCGGTCCCAGGACTGTCCCTACAGTGGGGCCGAGCTGTCCTGCCTGGACCCCCGCTGGCTGCACGACTTCCCCCAGAGACCCTGCTGCCGCTGCCACCTGGGACCCGGACACACCTGCGGTACGTCTCAGCTGCAGAACATCAAACTATTAGTGTATCCTCACTTCAGTGGCCGTTTTATCCAAAGTAAAGAGTTCTTAGGCCACTCACCCGTCAGTTATATAAACGTCACTTTATGGTTTTTGGAGTAAAAAGCTAATGGTAGGCTGTAAAGGAACCACAGCACGGTCACATGACTTCACATCACCACCGCTAAGCTATAGGTGGCTAATGTTGGGCGTGATGAGGTTGAGTCGTCTCATTCAGACACTTGTTAGCAACCGCCGTTTTTTGAATTCACCAGTGGGGTATTTACTGACATATTTTAGTCGTAGAACCAAACGTTAAAATCTCTTCAGCTTGTCTTAACAACAGACCTTATTTCAAGCGTCTAACTACAAACACATAAAAAAAACTGTTGGTTTTGAGAAGAGGGAACAGGAAGTGGTAGAATGCTGACTCATTCACAGGTTGTAGGACTCATTCCTGCACCACTCTGTACAGTGTGATGGCAGGTGGGTGAATTGATGTGTGTGTGATGTTCAGGTCCGGTGCACCTGATCCCGTCCCTGTGCTGTGAGGAGAGCTGCAGTCTGGGCCGCAGCCTGGACGTCAGCGCCTTCCCATCCCAGACCAGCCTCAGCGACGGGTGAGGAAACACAATATACTGAAACAAAAAGTCACTGGAATAACGGTGATAATCTTTCACTTTTTAAAGTATAAATACTGCACATTTTTGCCCCTGAACAGAACTCAAAATGAAAACCCCATAGAGTATCTCTATCCTAACAGGAAACTCAGCTCAAGGCTTATCTTTCAAAATAAAAGACTCAGAAAGTATCTAAATACTAGCAGGTAGCTCAAGGTGAGGTTTATTTTCAAAATAAAAGATCCAGAAAGTATCTAAATCCTAACAGGAAGCTCAATGTGAGGTTTATTTTCAAAATAAAAGACTCAGAAAGTATCTAAATACTAACAGGTAGCTCAAGGTGAGGTTTATTTTCAAAATAAAAGATCCAGAAAGTATCTAAATCCTAACAGGTAGCTCAAGGTGAGGTTTATTTTCAAAATAAAAGACTCAGAAAGTATCTAAATACTAACAGGTAGCTCAAGGTGAGGTTTATTTTCAAAATAAAAGACTCAGAAAGTATCTAAATACTAACAGGTAGCTCAAGGTGAGGTTTATTTTCAAAATAAAAGACTCAGAAAGTATCTAAATACTAACAGGTAGCTCAAGGTGAGGTTTATTTTCAAAATAAAAGACTCAGAAAGTATCTAAATACTAACAGGTAGCTCAAGGTGAGGTTTATTTTCAAAATAAAAGATCCAGAAAGTATCTAAATACTAACAGGTAGCTCAAGGTGAGGTTTACTTTTAAAATAAAGGACTCAGAAAGTATCTAAATACTAACAGGTAGCTCAAGGTGAGGTTTATTTTCAAAATAAAAGACTCAGAAAGTATCTAAATACTAACAGGTAGCTCAAGGTGAGGTTTACTTTCAAAATAAAAGACTCAGAAAGTATCTAAATACTAACAGGTAGGTCAAGGTGAGGTTTATTTTCAAAATAAAAGATCCAGAAAGTATCTAAATCCTAACAGGAAGCTCAGGATGAGTATTTTTTTCAAAAATCAAAGTCCAAGAAAGGAACTGTATCTGAACAGTAAGCGCTGGATGATGAATGTCTTTCAAAATAAAAGCCCCAGAAAGCAACAATACAGCTACTGCTTTCAATACCTATTCAGTGCTGGCATATTAGCACCGGGCGCACAGTCAACATTTCTCAGAGGGGAATTTTCTACATTTAATTAGAATCTAGGAGACGCTGGGAAACAACTGGGGAATCTTGCATTAAAGTGAAGCACCACAGGGTGTGGCTGTGAACAGAGATCCTGGAGATAATAACCACAGCTTTTTTTTTTTAACTATGATTCACAGAAATACACACCAGGATGAGGAGGCAGGACATCCAGAGTCAGGCTGCAGAGAGGCCGCTGGGATGAGAGGAGCTCCAGAGCCTGCAGAGAGTGTGGAGCACGGAGAGGAGGAGGAAAGGTGTAGGTCGAGGGAGAACTCACCTGAGAGGAGCAGACGGAGCTACAGTGAAGCTGTGACAGATGCACTTCTCCCCAAACAGCAGGCATCAAGTCAGGACGGTGAGGAGACGCATGACTGTCCTGCAGGAGACCATTAGGATGTTGCACGATTTCCATTTGATACAGTGGTGCAGGGAGGATGCCGACCCAGATGTTAGCATTTCTCGACAAACAGCCAATGGGATTTCTCCATGTGATTTTGGATTATAAACAATCTCTAAAAACGTTTATTTAACTTGCACGTTTTGTTCAGTTGGGTAATCTTCACATATTAAAACCACTTTATGATTTTTAAAATAAAAAGCTAATGTTAGGCTATAAAGGAACTACAGCACGCTCACATGACTTCACGTCACCACCGCTAAGCTAAAGGCGGCTAACGTTAGGCGTCAAGACGTTTAGTAGTCTCATAGACACTTGTTAGCAACCGCCGTTTTTAAATTCACCAGTGGGGTAATTACTGACGTATATCAATATTTGTTTTACACTTAAATTAGTAATCTGTGCTCCACCTCTGGAGAACAAAGAGGATATCTCAAATAAATCTGCAGTTTTTCTATAATTACGTTAGACATTAACTGCTTGCTTGTACTTCCTGCTGTGTGATGTCCTCTGCTGTTGGTGTCCATGAGGAGCAGCTGGTTAAAAAAACAAGACATACCAGACGGGTTTCTTTGATGTAGACAAGACGATCCTGTTCCCCCCCCCCCCCCCCTTTCTCTGGGTAGATTTGTTACTAATCACCGCACTCCTCTTCCTGCTCTCTCTCTCTCTCTGCAGGATGACATGGATGTCTTTGGCTCGTGTTGCACCCTTGAACCACCCCGGACTCAACAACAGCCGCGGCCAGATCCCAGATCAGATTACCCAGCAGCCACTTCCTCCCCCCCCCCCCCCCCCCACCACCTCCACCATACAGACACTATCAAGTGCAGCCGCCTCTTTGAAATGCCTCCTGCTGTGCTGACCTCGGAGCCCCTCCTCACAGGGTCAGAATACAGTATGTACATACATGCAAACAAAAGCACTGCTGAGGAAAGCACCGGGGCACAGAGATAAAAACACACACACACACACACACACACACACACACACACACACACACACACACACACACACACACACACACACACACACACACACACACACACACACACACACACACACACACACACACACACACACACACACACACACACACACACACACACACACACACACACACACAGAATGTGAACTCACTGGCCCAGAAGGTGGGACTGAATGAAGTTGGAGTATTGATTTATGACGGTGAATCAAAGCGAGCCGCTGCTTTGCATATTATTCACATGTAGGAGAACATGGCCGCTGATCCTGCAGTTGGTGTTATGAAGCTTTTTGTGTGTAAGAAAAAAGATGTGAGGCGTGAAGAAAAAAAGCAAAAAGTGTCAGAAAGTGGTTTATTAATGTTGCACCTTGAAGACAATCTTTTATGGAACAATTAAGATGAGGAATGTGATGTAGATACTGTAAAATATTACATAGGTCAATATTTTTGTAACATAGACTGTTTCTCTTCCCCCTGTTATGGTGTTATTGTAAACATATTGTTTTTGTAAATAAAGCACTTGAATACGTTTGAATAGTGAGCAGTTCATGTGTTGTTCTCCAGTGAATTCATTAGAAGTGATTTATTTATCTCTTGTAAGCGGTTAGAAAGTACGATTTCAATGAATGCCTCAGGCTGCCGCCGTTCAGCCTTTCTGCCACACCCCATTCCTTTTTCATGTTAATTTTCACTTGGTCTCATATCTGCAAGTCTTATAATAATACATCATTTTGATCAGCAGGATAGTCTTCATGAAACAACCCAATTTGTGATTTTTTTAAGCGTAAAGGCAATCTCCAAAAATAACACGAGACCGTGGAGGACCGGGTGTTTTTATCTCTTGCAAACAAACTAGCTAAAACTATTTTTCAGTTGAATCACTCAAGCTTCTCTGGCTTGCAAGGGTCAACATGAAAGAAAGATATGGTTAAAATGACTATTACTTTACACTGTAGGGCCAGGTAGCTCAAAGGTACAACGAGTTTTTAATATTCTGTTTCAAGCTTTTCTTGTCTTTATTCAAATCAAAACTGATCAAAGGGAAAATGCTCCCGGGGGAAAGTAGTCGTCTCATTTAGGAACTTGTTTGCAACTGCCGATTTTAAATTCACCACCAGTGGGGTATTTACTGACGAAGAACAAAGCGTTCAAGTCTCTTCAGCGTGTGTTAACCACAGACCTTATTTCAGGATAACATATTCAAAAACCATTAACTTCAGGGAACAGGAAGTGGTAAAATCCTGACAAATGTCTGTGTTTTAGGACTCATTCCTGCACCTCTCTCTATCCAGACCATCAATCAGGCTGCTGTGTGTGTGTGCGTGCGTGTGCGTGTGCATGTGCGTGCGTGGTAACCAAGCTGCTCCTCACCTGCCTCAGGTCTCATATCTCTGCAGGCAAAGCCACTGTAACAGGGAGCAGCTGCAGCCACAGCCCATAATAATGAGTGAGTCTGATGATGCCGGCAGCTTTGTGGAAGACAGTGGAGCTCAAATGTGGGATAATTCTTTATTAACCAAGCTGGATAGGAGTCTCTACTTTAAAGTGGTGTGTAAACAGCTTCAACGCTGTGTGAAGTCAACAGTATTTTATACACTGTGTTGCAACAACTCCATTTAAGACTTGAACACAACTTTTTAGTTTCTCACAGAATTTTTTTTTACACAAAGTGAACGTCCCGCTCAGACCTTGTCCTCCTGACAGACAAACAGATGGAGCGGTATTAATCTGAAGTCTAAACAATGATCACATGACAGGAAGAGCAGATTAAGTATTCTTCCTCACGCTGATTTGATCAGGAAAAAACAAGGTTCGGCCAGTATGTGAGCTGAGAGGAAAATATGGCATGAGGGGAAGGAACTAGTTGTGGAGTCAATGGAAATAAAAGGCAAATTAAATGATGAAAAATTGGACTTTAGTGAAATTCATGCTTATTATTTAATGCTCAGTGCTATACAAAGGTGTTAAACATGTACAAACTTTACATTTTTTATATTAAATGAACGATATCTGACAAAATGGATCCCAGAAGATCTGTCAATGGGACACAATTTCACATAATCTGCAATAATCAACATTCAGAGATTATCAGGTATAAAGTCGTTTATTCTTACCATATTATCAGCATAATTACCCACATTATATAATCATAAGTCAATGTGACTTTAACAGAGACAGCAACATATAAAAAGTTCATTTACAGACAGAGGAGAGATGCTGAGTAATGAGCGTGCGTCCTGTGTGCAGCGTCAGTGCATCGTCTCTTTTGAAAAGTGCTCGTCTGTTTCCATGGTTACAGCGTCGTCCTTCAGCTCTCAGAGTCCATGAGGAAGGTCTCAAAGTTCAGGTCGAGCTCGGACACCAGCGCGTCCACAAACTCCTCCATGGTGGGCTGTCTCTGCAGCATCCCTGTTAGAGAACACACAGCAGGTTTTAGAGAGAGAGAGTGTGTGTGTGTGTGTGTGTGTGTGTGTGTGTGTGTGTGTGTGTGTGTGTGTGTGTGTGTTGCCGTAGAGCAGATATGAGTGTGTTGCGCTGGGAATGTCTGTCTGTGTTTTCAGAGGCCGCTCATGCGTGGAGGACTCCCTCACTCGCTTTACAATTCAGCTGCACGCCCGCTTTGAAGTCAGTTCACTTCCCCTTGTGTAACTGCCAATGTAAATAGGCACTCACCACCACCCCCCCCCCCCCCCTCCTCCCCTCCCCTCTCTTTCCTGCATGGGTCACTTCCAACGCACACACAAGCATGTCTGCACAGGCATGAATGGAGTCGCAAAGAGTTTCACACAGGGATCCTGAACGCATGGACACACACACACACACACACACACACACACACACACACACACACACACACACACACACACACACACACACACACACACACACACACACACACACCACACACACACACACACACACACACACACACACACACACACACACACCACACACACACACACACACACACACACACACACACACACACACACACACACACACACACACACACACACACACACACACACACACACACACACACACTTTTTTTATTCTGGAACAGGTATAAAGTGAGCGCAGGTTTGGCCCGCTGAGAGCAGAGAGGGGGATTATCATCTCCTCTTACCCACCGGGCGCTCCCTGCCCCTCAGCTATAAGATGATACCAGCATGCAGGGGTCCCTAAACGCATCACAACCACAACGCCCCTGGATCCCAGGGGCCGAGGAAGCCACATGAAAGTGATGATTTCCAACCATTAATGATAACCCTAATTAAAGCGCTGCGGGACATTTCTTTTGTTCGGACCACTGAATGTCACCTGATGGTGTCTTTAAAGTGGAGCTCAAGCTGCGTGATGTATTTTTGGAGGCCGACCCTGAAGGCAGCATCTCACTGGTTCCCTCCTCAAAAAGCCAATGGGATTTCTCCTTTGGATTTTGCAGAAAATCGCAGAAAATTATTGCAGAAAAGAATGTGATACAAAACGACTCTCTCAATGTTTGAGCAGATTTTCATTTGGTGGAGCAGTTTAAAAGTCTTTAAAGTGGTGGACAAACACTTGTATCATGTAGTATTTACATTATTTGATTTCATATTCTGTTCTTGTACATATCCTATATTCTATTGACATGTATATAGACCTTTTGCACTACTTTTTACTTTGTATTTTATTATATATGTTGCATTGTTGGAGGAGCTCAGGCCAGAAGAATTTCATTGCCATTTCTACACTGTAACTTTGTGCATATGACAATAAAACCTTTGAATTGAATAGTACTGCGATACTGTAGGACACAGCTGTAAAAAAGGAAAGAAGAATTTATCGACTCACCCGCAACCACCTAAGGCGGCGGAGAAAATAAATTCTGTGTTTTGTTTACATGACAAGAGTGATGAAGGAGGCACAGGGAGAAAGTTGGGGAGGCGTGATCGTGAAGGAGGTGAGTCGGGTAAACAAAACAACTCGCCGGCTTCTCATCACCCTCAGCGCGGGGTGTCAGCACCTGGCGCTCACACCGAGAGAGAGGGAGAGGGACACAACGAGGGGCGAGGAGTGAGTCTGTTCTCAGCCCTCATCCCTGGGAGAGTCTGAGAGGAATGCACAGATAACCTCAAAGTCATAACAACACTGTGGAGGAGGATCTGATGTGAGAAGCTGCTGGTATAGATACACACAGGGAGGGGGGGTCTGCACATGTTTATGGTGGAGCTGTGCTATCTGTAAAGAGAGTAAGTGTGAACCACAGAAAGAAAGGGCTGCACAATGTGTCATTCTTAGGGCTGTCAACGATTCATCTGGAGACCTTAACACGTTAAAAAGAATTGATGCAAATGAATCACATTGCCAAGTTTGACCCAGGGTTGATCCAGTAATTCCAGTGAAGATGTTTACAATGAATCGCATGGCAGTGAGAAGTCAAAGAAACACTTTAATATCTGTCCTGTCACTTTCAAATAAAATACCGGCATTTACTATGATGATGATACATCAGTATCAGCATGGCAGTCGGCCATCATGAGTAAGGAGATATCAGCAGAGCGTGCATCATTAAACTTATGTCATACTTCACTATGAATGTATTACTATACTAAGAGTTTTATGACTTTTACATAACATACCATTTGACATTTTTATGGCATATTAAACTATGAATATTTATGACGTTTTGTTATTGCATTTCTATTAGCGATGCATGATGATATCGGCATGTTTTTGGCCGAAATGAATTGGAAAATAACAGCTTATCTGATAACTGCAGAAATGTAATAAATGCCATCATTTCATTCAGCTCCTTTAAGTGCAACAGCAATTCAAACCTAGACCGTGAGTTGTATTGGCTCTCCTAAATTCCATGAGTGAATATAATTTGTTTGATTTGTTTCATGTTATGAGACACTATGCAAGTGAATAGGATGATATGTGCTGTGCTAATAGCTGAAAAAAACCAACTCAAATAAATAGCAAGATGTTTTTTTTGTCAGAACCTCTGTCTCTACACACTGGACGAACTCATTGGAAGAACAAGGAGACGCAGAGCC